TGGAACGGAGACCAACCGGTGGGCTCGTCAGCTCGTGGCCGGCTTCTCTCTCTCTCTCTCTCTCTCTCTCTCTCTCTCTCTTCTCTTCTCTTCTCTTGTTGGGCGGGGCGGGGGGAGGAGTGTGGTGGGGCCTGGGCGTAGGGGCTAGTGGTAACCGCCCGTAGCAGAGGAGAGAGCTGACAACACGCGACGCCAGCGGCGAGGGAGGCGGTCCACTGTGCGAAGCCTCCCCTCCTGCTGCTTGCTCCTCGTGTTGCGCAGCGCGGCGCGTGGGTGGGTGGTGCGTTGCTGTTGAGGTGGCCCGTTGCTTTCTCGGCTTCTCACTCTCGCTATGCCCCTCTCTCGGGAGTGGGGCGGGGGAGTGATAAAGTTGTAGGAGCCCGAGGGAGGGAGAGGAGTAAACCGAAAATATACAAACTGTCACGTGAAACGCACGAATTTCGGACGAACTTTCAGTCTTTTATATGCAGGAGTTTGAGCCAGGAGATGTAGTAGAAGTGAGAAACTGGGATTCCATGCAAACAGCTGAATTCTCCGGCAACGTGTCTTCAACCAGCCTTCTTGGAGGGGTCGGCGTTGGTCCCCTTCCACCCGCCTCTCCGACACCGGGAAGAAAACCCTCTCTCCAAATCCTCGTGGAACAGGCTACGGCGGCGCAAATTTCGTCGATCGGCCCTTCTTGAAGGCATTGCCTTGGGGCCAGCATCGCAGATAAGGTTGATGGTTGCTTGGTGTCGAGACGTTGTTGGTGGTGCTGGTTGTGTGGCCGGCTTGACGTCGACGGCGGTATGGGTCGTCGTGGAGATGCCAACAACAACACCTTAGGTGGAGTCGGAGCTGCCTTTTGACGTTGTTCGGTGGCGGTGCTGCTGTTGGAGGGGCGGGGGTCTGCGATGGTGCAACATGGCACAAACAGAGTTGTTGTGTTTGTTGCCTCTCGTGTTGGTCATGTCGCCTTTGATGTCGGCTCTCTGCTCTGCCGCTTTGGTTAGGCTCCGCTACGTGATGATGGGCGATGATAATGAGGTGAGTCTCTGCTTTTGGTGCGGTCTTGCTTGATCATTCCCCTAAAATGGCCAACCTTGATCCGTAAAGTGCTCAGGGTAGTCCCCAGGGCAAAGCTCGTGATCAGTTTGTGTTGTTTGGCGGAATCTCCATATTGTTAGGTCCTTCTATGGCATCACTACTAAAAGTGCAATTTTGCCCTTGATTATATTTTGATGTCGATGATAATATACATATAGGGGACTATTTGTGTTTGTTAAGTATATCACAGGTTTTAGTCCCTGTGGATATTGTATGTGTGTGGATCATGGACCCACTTGATATGACAATGCTCAAGAACAGGGAAACAAATATATGAACATAGAGTTTTCGGTTTGTTTTTCATTATAGGCATATGCACTATTAAGAGATTATTGGGGTTCGTGAAAGATTTGCTCAAACTCAGTTCGTTGCAAATATTCTCCACTCACATCTTACACATGTGCCATGCACATCCACCTACAAAATTGCCCCTAGAAAAATATTCACATCATACACATATAGGGCTGCTTTCAAAACACACCAGTTTTCACTACTTCATCGCATGTCATGTACCTACTAGATGTCCGGTGACTCATCTGGTGCGGATGTTCGGTATCCACTAGACGTGTGGTAAACCATCATGGCACCAAAACTGAGGTAAATTATCAGGCTCTTGGTGGTCGCGGGATATCCGGTGGCTAACCATGCCAGAAAACTGGTGCAAATTTCTCATGGAATAGGCTACGGCGGTGCAAATTTCGTCGATCGGCCCTTCTTGAAGGCATTGTCTTGGGGCCAGCATTGCAGATAAGGTTGATGGTTGCTTGGTGTCGGGACGTTGTTGTTGGTGCTGGTTGTGCGGCCGGCTTGGCGTCGACAGCGATATGGGTCGTCGTGGAGATGCCAACAACAACACCTTAGGTGGAATCGGAGCTACCTTTTGACGTTGTTCCCTTAGGTCAAGTCGGAGCTGCCTTTTGACGTTGTTCGGTGGCGGTGCTGCTGTTGGAGGGGCGGGGGTCTGCGATGGTGCAACATGGCACAACAGAGTTGTTGTGTTTGTTGCCTCTCATGTTGGTCATGTCGCCTTTGACGTCGGCTCTCTGTTCTCCCGCTTAGGTTAGACTCCGCTACGTGATGATGGTCAATGATAATGAGGTGAGTCTCTGCTTTTGGTGCGGTCTTGCTTGATCATTCCCCTAAAATGGACAACCTTGATTTGTAAAGTGCTCAAGGTAGTCCCCAGGGCAAAGCTCGTGATCAGTTTGTGATGTTTGACGGAATCTCCATATTGCCAGGTCCTTCTATGGCATCACTACTAAAAGTGCAATTTTGCCCTTAATTATATTCTGATGTTGATGATAATATACATATAGGGGGCTATTTGTGTTTGTTAAGTATATCGCAGGTTTTAGTCCTCGTGGATATTGTATGTGTGTGGATCATGGACCCACTTGATATGATAGTGCTCAAGAATAGAGAAACAAATATATGAACGTAGAGTTTTTGGTTTGTTTTTCATTATAGGGAGCTGCGCTATTAAGAGATTATTGGGGTTCGTGAAAGATTTGCTCAAACTTAGTTCGTTGCAAATATTCTCCACCTACAAAATTGCCCGTAGAAAAATATCCACATCATACACATATAGGGCTACTTTGAAAACACACCAGTTTTCACTACTTCATCGCATGTCATGTACCTACTGGATGTCCGGTGACTCATCGGGTGTGGATGTTCGGTATCCACTAGACGTGTGGTAAACCATCATGGCACCAAAACTGAGGTAAATTATCAGACTTATGGTGGTCGTGGGATATTCGGTGGCTCACCATGCCACCGGATGTCCAGTAACCTCAAGACGTATGTACACCTATACAGAAGAGATTCAACGAAACATGTCTGGTCACTCATCTGGTGACGGATGCCCGGTATCCACTAGA